AATTCTTGTTTTTTAGTTGTTTCAGGGATTTCAAATCATTTTATATAGTAGACAATGGAAGTTTCTATGATATACATATTTTTTTTCAATTTTTTTCTGCAGGTGACTGAGATATCTGCTGGCCTAAAAGCTCTGGGACACCCGGTAGACCAAACTGAACAAGTGTGACAATGACACAAGACACGATTCACGCGTGATATGTCAAAAACAGTGTTGTCAAAAAGATACTTGCAAAAAGTCACTCATTATATCCATAGTATAATTTTTTTTTCGTGTCACACAAAGTGAAATAACACAGAGATCCCTCAGTGCTCTTGTAAAAACCAGTGGAAATATTTTCTGCTGTGACAGTCGTTACATACAATTACGAGATTATTAAAATTCCTCCCAGAAATGAGCGGAAAGTACTGCGACGACCTAATTTGGAATGCGCCATCCTTCAGGGCTTGACATCAGAAAATATCTTTTATATTTCATTGTTCGTGCATTTCTGTAATTTAGAAATGAAAACGGAGTAATTTAAAAATGCATTTACAGAGGGAGTTCGGCGCTACAAGCAAAAAAAGTCTTATTTTCGTGAATTCCGCATACAGAACGAAACAGCGAAATGGACTGCAGCATCAATAATATTATTTCAACTCTGGAGTTGTTAATTTTTTCTCATTGTATTATTGTCAGTCGAGTCAGAACGAAATTGCAATAAAGAAATAGTTCATTATACTGGTGAACCTACTGGTGAGTACCTATTTTCTTTCCAAAACTTCAGCTAGTAGAAACGCAGCTTTCAATATCACCTCAACTTGAAATTACAGTTTAATGAAACTTTCAAATTCCATTTTCGAAAAAAGTACATCAATATGTAAAGGTGATGAATTCCTGTGTAGCTTTCATGAAATTATAGTGAGGTGAGTAAAACAAAAATACAGAACATTCGTATGCATAATTGAACATTTCATTTGAATACTCAAAATCACTTTCACTTCCGAATTTCGAATGAAATTTCCAATAACTCTAATGAAAATCACTTTTTAATGTATCACATTCCCGCACAGTTCACCTAATCAAATCAAGCTTACTTGAAATAGTTTCAATTTTCGCTGGAGGAAGGATGACTAGTTTCGATCCGATCTCATAGTGCTTCAATTGAACTATATTCATCCAACAAACAAAGTAACCCAAAAAAAGATAGATGGGTGATCAAAGCATGATCACCACACACATTTGCAACTACTGGGTAGAATAAGCGAACATTCTTACGCTGGCCAATCAGATTCAACTGCAGTCAGCTGCAGTAATTCATTATTGAAGTGTCGGAGTGGTCATCGCCTGTGGTGTGTACATATACAGTATTATATCCATAGAATCCACTCGATTCCTCTACGGAAGTTTTGAAATGCGCACACTACATTTTTTAGTAATTTCAAGTTCAGCGCGTGCTGACCGTTCTAGTCAACAACTTGTATGAACTACTTAGAGTTCATACAACATATAAAAAACATCGTTCTGCAGGAAGGATTACAGGACATCGGATACGGGGGCACATCTTCACCGGCAGCAGGAAGTTGCATATCTTAATGAGGATCTAGTAGTAATTTCGAATCGAAGTGAAAGTAACCAGGTTCAATTCAATGCCACAAAAACCCTGGCATCGGTTTTCTCCAAGAAGATAAATGTCTCCGAATCGAATATAATAATGTCACGTTAGACAATTCCGCTTTCTGCTTCGATAAGTTTATTGGGGGTTGAAATGGACACCAATATGTTTTGGCAAAATCATGTCGCTGTAATTCCAAAGGCTGCTTTTTAAAAGCTCGGAAAACTGTTCCGAACCAGAAAGCTGTACATACCTCAGCAACTTTTGATGCTTTATAAAACTCAGATCAGACCTTCTTCTGGAGTATTGTTCTCATACATGGAGATCTCCCCCTAAACATATCTAAAACATGCTGGATTCCATCCAGAAAAGAGCCATCCGCCTGATTGAAGACGTGAACATCATGTGCAACCTTGATAGCCTGGAACATCGAAGAATGGTTGGAGCTTTGTCTCTCTTCTATTATTACTTTCACTGTAGCTGCTCATCGTTTTGAGGTTCAACTCAGTACACCTTGAGCTTCACTGTTTGAGAACATTCCTGAGAATGTTTTTTCAAATGGCTTCAATCTCCAGCGATTCAAATCCGATGTGAATCGCTACTTTCGCACAGACCTCGTTCTGAGAGCGTCTTAAGGATTTTTGTAATAAAACGTTCAACGGACGGGCAACAACTAACTTTTATTCTATATAGTTTTTACATCTAGCAGATAACAAATGTTGCAACTTGTTATATTTTGTTATACATTTCAACATCCCCACTTAACAAAATAAAAGATGCATATGTTTAACAATATATCAACGACATATTATATTTACATTTTTATCCATTTTTGTGAATAAACATGATTCTAGTTCACATTTTTTATAACCTAAGGATTGCAAGAAATCATCAACTCTTCTATACCATGCCCTTGATGATTGTTTTAGGCCATAAATGGCACGTTCTGAAAGCAAAACCTTGTTCACATTATCATCACTAACCTGAAAACCTGGTGGATTTGTCATATACACATTTTCATCTAAGAAACCATTTAGAAATGCAGTATCTACATCTAAGTGACAAATATTTAAATGAAGCTGATCTGCTAAAGCGAATTACAATCTCAAACTAGAATGCCTAACTACAGGTGAAAAACATTCATGAAAATCAATGCCCGGCTTTTGGGTGAAGCCCTCACCAACTAGCCTGGCTCTATACCTGACATTATTATCTTTGTCAATTTTTCGCTTAAATATTCATCTACATGGTACAACAGTGCCACTGTGAGGAACGTCTACTAACTCCCAAGCATCATTATCTTCAAATGATTTGAATTCACTTTGTATAGCTAATTTCCACTGTTCACTTTCTGGTCCATTTAATGCTTCATCTAAAGATATTTCACATGCACTGGTTTCATTGCTTTGACCTTCACACACAACACCAAAACCCTAACGAACAGGCTGCTTGCGTAGACGCTTAGCAGGTTTCTCCACTGGCAACACGGGAGAGAGGCCTGACTGAGTCGAAAGCTGTGGTCTGGTTGGCACAGGCTTTGCAGGTTCAGTCGCTAGCATATCTTCGGTGTCCTCAAAACCCTCTTCCCCTCCTGATCTTGCTCTGTTTTTGTGTGCTTCATGTTCCCCACTTCTTGGGTACATTCTTCTCTCTCTTCTTTCGTAGAAAAAATATCATTAGTGTCCTCACTAATATCAATGTGTATCACTTCTTGCTGCTGGTCAATTCCCTCCTCAATCACAACAATATCCCTTGCTATTGTTAATTTGTTATTTTTGGGATTGTATACTCGGTAACCTTTCACATTGTTTGAGTAACCAACAAGAATACACTCAGTTGCTTTTCTGTCCAATTTTATTCATTTTTCTTTTGGTATGTGTACCATAGCCTTACTTCCAAAGATACGTAGATTACTGACATCTGTCTCAGCTCCGGTCCATATCTCTATAGGTGTCTTGTTGTTCAATCCTGATGCGATTGACCTGTTGCGCAGATAAACTGCAGTGTCTACTGCTCCTGCCCAAAAAGGTTTAGCTAATCCTGCATCGAATAACAAACATCTCGCTTTTTCTACGACTGTACGATTGTACCTATCGCAGAGACCATTCTGTTCCGGTGTGTATGGGCAAGTTTTTTGATGTACAATTCCAGCCGATTGCAAAAAATTTCACTTCTATCCTCCATATCTAGTAATTTTGTCTTTATGGCATCTGCCGTTAACTCAATACCTGAATGTTCCACCGCCATTATCATCGGCTCAAATTTTTCAGGCAGTCCTGCTAACAACAAGGACCCGACCCACTCGTCACTTATTTTGAATCCTGTATTGTTCAATCGTTGGCTTGTTTCTAACAATGAAGTCACATATTGATACATAGAATCACAATTTTCACGACGAATTGATTTGAGGTTACGAAGTAATCCGATGCGCCGCGTGTTGCCATTATCATCAAATAGTTTTCTTAGTTTCTGCCATAGCCCCATTGCAGTTGATTCACTTTTTATATGCACGAATAAACTGGGATCTATAGTTAAAACTATTTTTGCTTTCGCTTTCGCGTCGTTCGGATCAGTGTCGGACGTGATGCACTGTTGCATGCCTTCTAATATAAGATAATTCTCCACAGCGAACGCCCAATCCTCGTAATTTTCTCTACCCTTTAGCTTTGCAATACTAGCAATAAGGTTTGTCGACATTTTTGCACCATATTTTCACCAAAATAAATAAACTTTTTTAACACACGTGATTAGCTCATAACCTGTAATGAAACGTTCAACGGACGGGCAACAACTAACTTTTATTCTATATAGTTTTTACATCTAGCAGATAACAGATGTCGCTACTTGTTATATTTTGTTATACATTTCAACAATTTTCCTGTTGTGCTTGTGTTTTGCCCTTGAAAAAAACCTGATATCAAATATTTCAAAACAAGAAGTCGACTTTCACGTATCTCATTTAAAAGGTGACAGAAATCGCATTATTCTACTTTTTAGGAAATACTAATTTATTACCATGCCTAATTTTTTCCCTTATTGGAACTGTTCAAAACAAAAACATTATTTCTCTGAACCTCCCCTTGGCAATTGCCTTTCTATGATAATTCCTGGATGATTTCTTCACGTGACAACTTGTGCTGTCTCTTATTCGGATTCTGTGTATTCTCTCCAATGCCATTAACCCTTAGCATCTTCCAGCATTGAATCGAGCCGAGAGAAAATAGCCGTTTCTCACGAATTTGCATGATTATGGAAATATAGAGTAAGCATATTTCTTCAACGACGGTAATTTAATAAAGCTGATGGGTGAATTAGACTTCGGGGTGTTTTCTCGAACACCTGTTCTGTTTCCTCTATAGTCGGCTCTGATTTATTCGAGATTGTGTCTCGGTACATTACCTGCACCTGAGATGAACGGGATGAACATTGATGATGACATTTCACGCCATGTAAGTTACTTTATTTCACTTGTTCGTGCATTTCTGTACGAGTGTTCCAGTTACTGACTTGAATGTTAAGTCAGTTTCAGTACGAATCATGGAATTCAACTTGAATATTATTGAGATCAAATGAGGTGAAATGGGTATCAAGTTCGTCAAACGCAATGGACGGCTGAAAGAGGTTGTTACCGATGAAAACATCAAAAAGTTCACAAAATGATTTTGGATTACCGCAAAGTGAAGTTGATATAGCTGGGGCTATAAAGATATCGTGCATGAATCTGGCGATGACAAAAAAAGCAAATCAGTCTTTTATTCAGCAATAAAAGTCTCGGTGTTCATTTTTCGCGACGAAAACAACTATATTCGTTTCATCACTGCACTATTCGCCGCGACTACCACTCGACTCCGTGGCTCGCGCTGTACAGATTCATGAATTTGTTTTGTTCGCCGGCCGCGCAGCAAGTCGCCCACGCGATTCGCTCGGTACATTTCGCCGGTCACTTCGCCGGTCGCCGTTGCGCATGGCTTCATAAGTACATTCCTATGCGTTTGTTTCAGTCGCTAGTCGCTAGACACTTCGCCGTTTGCACCGCGCGAATATTCGCATCGGCGAGTATCCCGTGGCCATGCTGTAAGAGTAGGATTTCTGACTGACCAGTGTCAACTAAGGAAACAACTTCATAATATGGGACACACCT